CCGGGGACAAGGCTCAGCTTGTCCTCCCACAACCAAACCCTCATCCTGCCCAAACTTGCAGGATGCTGGGGGAACCGGAGTGTGCCCCCCATGCCGATCTGCTGCCGAGCCCCCCGGGATGCTCAGTGCTGCTTTCACCCGTGGGCAGCAGCAGCAGCGAGGGGCGCTGGGCTGGTGCCAGAGCTGCGGGAACTGGGTGCTGTGGGAAGAGGTGCCACGGAGCTCTGCTCCATCCCAACCCCCGCCCCGGCCTCCTGCATCCCACACGCTAATTGCTGCTCTTTTTTCTTTTCTTTCCAAGGCAGCGGCTTCTGCTGGAACAAGTGCTGGGGAGGGGGGGGCTGTGGGGATGGCTTGGGAGGGAACGGGGTCAGTGACAGGGAAAGAGCACAGGAATGCTCCCCCTGGGGCCATGCAGGGATGGATGGGGTCGCTGTGGCAGGCTAACTTGCAGGTCACTCCAGGGCCACCTGCCAGCGTTGTGCAGGGCACTGGCTCTGTGGGGATGGCGGTTGTGGTCTTGCTCTAACTCCAGAATTGTGAAGGTTCCTTCTCCCTGCTCCCACAGCAGTGGCTCTAGTTTGGGGGCTAGTTCTTCAGAAAAACCCCAAGTTCCTCATCAGTGGACTGATGGTATTCCCCAGTTTTCTTGCTGCTCAGTGTCCACGTTCTTTCTTTTTCCCTCTGCATTTTGGTTCTCCCCCTTCCCCATGCAGCGCTGGGTTCTTCCCCCTCCTCTCACCAACACCTTTATCAAGGCTCAGATTGGATTTTCAGTCTGGTTCATGGAGAAATGTGAGTTCAGACTGAGCAGGACTGAAGTGCAGGGAGGAGGTCAAGCGAGCGCTTAAACCCTTCAGATCCTGGTTTGGTTACATCTTTAAGTGCTTTGCAGCCTCAAGCTCGGTAGATATTTGTGAGCTTGGCCTGGAGTGGAGTGTGTCACTCGCTGGAAGGGACACTGGGATGCCACTGAGCGTGCAGAGCATGGCTGTGCTGCCACGGGACCTGCCACGGCTTTGGCAATTCCCTGGAGGAGGGACAAGGCAGGCAGGACTGAGAGCACACGTGTGCACACCAGCACGTGTGTCTGGGCTAGCTCCCAGTCACCCTTGTTCTGCTCCAGGCCCTGGCACTCACTGCCAGCTGCTCCTCTGGGGCTGAACACTCTTTTTTGGGTGTTTCAGCCCTGCTGAGCCTTCCTCACCTTCCCAGTGCCAGCACAGTGGGGAAGGCTGCTCCAAGGGGAAGCCTGTGGGTGTTCCTGTACTGGTGGGACCATTTGTGTGTGTGCCAGTCCCACCAGTGACACCGAGAGCTTCTGCTGGTGCTGATGAGGAGCTTGATGGGATCCCCAGTGTGGTGCTGGGGTTGCTGTCACCGCTGCTGTCACCGTGCCACTGTCGCTTGTGCCACCACAGCCGAGCCCCAGCTGGGGTTTGCAGGGCCCTAATCCCATTTCCCTTGTGTCTCTTTCATCTCCAGTCGGACCAGGAGAGTGGTAATAGACCTTCTTACTAAATTAAATGCGCACGCTGCTCCTGGAGGCACGGTGCGCTTCAACCCTAGCTGATTTCCCAGCCACAGCAGCATGGTGCCTCCGGGGAAAAAGCCAGCTGGGGAAACTTCCAATTCCAACAAAAAGTGCAAACGCTATTTTAATGAGCACTGGAAGGAGGAGTTCACCTGGCTGGAGTTTGACTATGAGAGGAAGCTCATGTTTTGCGCGGAGTGCCGGCAGGCCCTGGTGAAGAACAAGCACGGGAAAGCGGAGAACGCTTTCACCGTGGGCACCGACAACTTCCAGCGGCACGCGCTGCTGCGCCACGTCACCTCGGGTGCCCACCGCCAGGCGCTGGCCGTCAACCGCCAGCAGCTGGCCTTCGACACCCCCCGTGCCGGCCACCCCGAGCTGCGCTCGCTCATCAAGGTGGAGGTGAACCCGGCCAAGGTGGCCGTCCTCACCACGGTCTACTGGATGGCCAAGGAGGAGATGCCCGATGAGAAGTGCTCCTCCCTGCTGAGCTTGCAGAAGTTCAACCTGTGCCAGGCGCTGCTGGCATCGGAGCACAGCGAGTTCTACCACCCTGGCAGCGTCAGGGAGATGCAGGTGTGTAAGGGGGGTTTAGGGGTTGGCAGCTGGGTGGTGGCTGCACTGGCAGGACAGGGATAGTTCCCATCCCCACCGAGCTCCTTGAGCTTTGCAGGATGAATGCTAATTGTCTCAGGAGTTCAATTAGCACAAGAGCACTGTGGGTTTTGCCTTTTTTTGCCCTAAACTGAGTGATCAGGAAGATCAAGTAGCCGGAGAGTTTAAGAGGGATTTCTGAATTTTACCAACGCTTCATGCCTGCTAAAATCAAATTAAATTTTTAGTGAGGCTTGGCTGTTTGCCAGGCTTTTCAGCTCTCTGCAGAGCCGTATTTTGCTACTGATAGACTAAACCCACTAATTAGGTTTCCCAGCCTGTGGTGATCCTTGCAGCACTCACACACACAGAGGAAGTTTTCCCTCCGAACTGGGGAGTTTGCCTGAAATGGGGGAAGTGTGAGTAAATGAGTAAAGATGGAAAAAACGTTGCCATTTTGCTGCTGCTCCTGCTGGGCCAGTGAAGTGGAACTGCTGGAGTTGCATGGGGCAGGTGAGTTCCTGGTGTCACTGCCAGCATAGATGTGGGCTTGGGAATGGGATGCTGGGGGTTTGAGGGGTCAGTGATGCTGGTGATGCTGTGTCCTCCTGCATCTGTGGGGTTCTGACCCCAAGCTCAGGACAGGAACCCCCAAGCTCTCAGCAGCTTTCCATGGTGCTTGAGCTGCCAAACAGGAGCAGGAGGAGAAAGCTTGTTAGGGAAAAAGAAAGTGATTTCCAGCCTCTGTGTGCAAGGGCTTTTCCCTGGCTCGGGGCTCTTGCGCTGCAGGAGCCTGTGGGTGGGAGCCCACCCGCTCACTCTGTGCCAAGTGCTGCTCGTCTCCCACTGCCTCTGAATCTCATTTGTGTTTCTCTCTCCCTCCCTGCACCCCTCCTTCCACTGGCCCAGGCAGCCATTGCCAAAGTCCTCCACAACGAGGACAGGCACAGGATCAAAGCCTCGCCGTTCATTGGGCTGGTGGTGGACGAGACAGTGGACGTCCTGGAGCACCGCAGCCTCGCCGTGTTCACCACCACTGTCTCCCCCTGCAACGGGCAGACCTCCACCACCTTCCTGGGCAGCTTCGAGCTGCCTGCAGGGGAGGCCTCCACGGTGGCAGGCAAGGTGGGCGAGGTGATGCGCTCCTTTGGCATCCCCAGCATGAAGCTCACCTGGCTCAGCGCTGACAGTGCCTCGCTGGTGGCCGAGCGGCTCAGCGGGGTGGGGACAGCGCTGAGCTCGCTCTGCCCGCTCCTCACTGAGGTGCACTGCCTGTCCCACGGCACCTCCCTGCTGCTGGCCGAGAGCATCAGCACCATCGAGTACCTCCAGAAGTATGAGACCACTGTGGATGCTGTGTATAGGCTCTACTCCAGCTTCCAGGGGGAAGGGGAGAGCCTGCAGGAGCTGCGGAGGGTCCTGGACCTTTGTGAGATAGACCTTGGGAGCCCCAAAGCCATCCACTGGACCTCTATCTTCCCAGCTGTAGAAGCCATTGACTCCTCGTGGCCCACGCTGGTGCTGCTGCTGGAGAGCCAGGCAGAGTGCTCACCTGTGGCCCGTGGCCTCTGCGAAGAGCTCAAGAAGTTCCAGTTTGTGGCCTTCACCAAGATCCTTCTGGACGTCCTCCCCATCTTCCAGAAGCTCAGTCGTTTCTTCCAGATTGAGGATTTTGACCTCTCCATCTTGAAGCCCATAGTCTCAGCCACGGCTACCACGCTGCAGGCCCAGCAGAGCACCAGTGGCCAGAACCTCCAGGAGTTCCTCAGAGAGATGAACAAGCACCCACAGGACGGCCGGGAGGGTGAGAGCCGCCTCTACTACAAGGGTGTTGAACTTGCCAACTGCTCCCAGGTGCACTTGAAACACTTTGAGCACCTGAAGGACAGCTACCTGGAGAAGGTACGGGGCAACCTGCTGGACAGGTTCCCCAGCAGCGTCCTGGAGGCCATCAGCTCCTTCTCTGCCATCTTCAACCCCAAGTGCTACCCTCAGTCTCTGGAGGACATTGGCAGCTACGGGGTGAGCGAGCTGAATTTCCTGCTGCGCGTGTACTCGCGGGTGGTGGTGAGCGAGAGGGCCCTGAGCGACTTTCCCCTCTTCAAACGCATCGTCTTCAGCCTCAGCCAGCTCTCCTTCAAGGACCTGTGTGTCAAGCTGGTCTACAGCAGCTCTGAGATGCACGAGCTCTTCCCAGACTTTGCTGTCCTGGCTGCTATAGCCCTGGCCTTGCCGCTGGGCTCGGTGCTGGCCGAGAAGATCCGCCGGGGCCGGGAGCTGCTGCAGCGTGGCCGCTCACGCCTCGCCAGGGACCAGGGCCTCTCTGACCTCATGAAGATCGCCATCGACGGGCCAGCCATCAGCGAGTTCAACTTTGCCTTGGCCATCGAGTGCTACGAGAGCATGAGGGAGTCTGGGTTCATCGTGGCACAGGTGAAGTGAGCGGGGCTGCTTTGGAGCCCTTGGGGCAGCCCCCAGGGCCAGCTCAACACTGCCTTTCCACGTCACTGGGCACTGCTGGGGCTGGGCAGCTGCACTGGATGGTGACCTGCTCTGTGCTGGGAAGAGAAAACAGGATCCTCATGCCCCAAACCTCTGTTTGAATCACCCAGAATTCAGAATCCTGAGGCCACCCAAGATCCCGAATTGCGACGAGTTTTTTCCAAGGGTTTGTCATCATTTTGTTTTGGGGAGAGGAAGGCAAAGCTCTTGAGCTCAAATGTCACGTTGCCTTTGCACAGAGATACCCGGCAGCTTTTGCTTAATTCTCTGCAAAAATATGGGATTTTTGTTATTCTGGAGCCTGGAGAGTGAATGCAGAAAAGGCAGCACATCCTCCAAGCTCTGCGCCGACCCCAACATGCCTGGCGGTGTCGTGTTGGTGTTCCTTGCACACAGCACAGGGTATTTTTAGCAGTGGCATCAAGTCATGATCATTTCAAGAGCAAGAGATTTAGGGAATGATGTTGTAATGGCTGAGGAAATGTTAACTTTAAATGCATCATTGTGTACATATCTGTATGTGTGTATATATATATATAAATATACATATATAAATATCTATATTAAAAAGGTCTATCTTAATTTTCCTAAAGTTTAAAGATATCTAAAAGGACTTTTTTTTTTTTTTTGCAAGGACAGAATAAATTATGAGCAGGGGTCCAAAAACAATCAATAGCTAATTCTTGTTCTTTCCAACACGTCCTCATCTCCCCGAGTTCCCTTTGCACCATGAACTCTTGGCAACCTGCAGTCTGGGAGAAAGTCCTTCAACACCTGCTTTTGGGGCCTGCTGGAGGTGTTCAGCTCATATTTCTGCTCTGAAGTGTTACTGTCTGTCCTGAGGTGAGCAGAGCTGTTGGTGCCTGCAGCAGCCTGGAGCTCAGAGCCCTCTGCCCACAGGGCTGGGGTGCTGCTGGTGTGTTCCAGTGTGACTGGGCTTTGCTGGTTTTCACTTGGAGGGCTGTTTCCTTCACTTCAGACTGGTTCTAATCAGCAATAAACCCAGTGCAGCAGCATGAAGCATTACCTCAGTTGAATCCTGAGTGCTAGGTCCTCTGCTGAGGCTGCCAAAAGCTGGAAATGGGAGGATGTAGCTGATCTGCTGCCCCACAACCCAGGTCTGGTTGCTCTGGAAGTCCAGTGCTGTGCAATCTGTTTGTTGCCAGTCCAGATCCCAGAGGTGCTGAGGCTGCACTGGTGCTGCCATCGTGGTCCAGCGTTGTGACTGAGGGTTGCTGTTCTCTGTCCATCAGCCTTTGCCATTGGGGATCCTCCTGGAAATGTGCTTGGCCACAGACAAAACCTTTAAAGCCCTGGGTAAGGATTTAGAAGCACCATCAGAATTTGCTGAGAACATTTCCCAAGCAGGAGGGGGCCTCTGTGTGAATGAGCAGCTCCATCTCCATCTGGCCTGGGCAGACTCTGTGCCAGATGCTCGCTGAGGCAGCGGCGTCTGTGGAGATGGGTCCTTGGCAGGCTCCTGTTGATGTGAGAACCTGCAGCCCTGGCCCTGCCACCTTCACAGGCAGCTCTGGGAGCTTCACACAGAGCACAGCAGTTGCTCTGCCTTACAGGGAGCAGGAGAAAAACCTGCTGCAGGTGTGTGTTCAGTGGCTGTGCAGGGTGAAGGGGTGTGAGACAGGCTGGGAAGGACAACCAAACACAGTTTGGGCTGAAATTTCCTTTAAATTCCAGGGGATCCCTACAAAAGTCACTTGTCTGTGGGACAGGAACTGGGCTGAGCTCCAGGTGGAGAATGTGCAGGGTCCAGTGTCTCTGGCTGAGCTCGGTGGCTGTGCAGGGTGAAGGAGTGTGGGACAGGCTGGAGAGGACAGCCAGACACAGTTTGGGTGAGTTTGGTTAAATGTAGGCCTGAAAATTCATTTACATTCTGAGAGATCCCCACAAAATTCACTTGAACTGGGCTGAGCTCCAGGTGGAGAATGTGCAGGCTCCGGTGTCTCTGGCTGAGCCCAGAGCAGGGGACACACAGCACCACATCAGGGACATCGTGGCTTTGACACCTCTTGCTCTGGTGGCACCTGTGGACCTGGGTGGGCACAGAAACAACCCCCCAAACTGCAGCAGTGCCCGTGGTAGGAACACGTGGTTCCTGTGCTCCTCTCCTTGCAGCAGCCCCTGGAGTGCTCTGTCCCAGGAGGATCTGCAATACCAGAGCATTGGTGGGGAGACAAAGCCAAAGCAGGGGGGAGACAGAGCAGGGGCTGTGACAAAAAGCTGAACCACTGGGGGCCTGTTCACCCACCTGCTGCTGCTGTCACCTTGCCTAAGGTCGTGTCATTCTATACAGACCTGGGACCCTGCCACTCTCCCAAAAGCAAATCTCCTTAATTGAGTGTCTAATTAATACCTAAAAATACTGCCCTCAGCTGCTGCTGGAATCTGCCCTGCAGCAAAGGTAAGGCAGGACCCACAATGCCATAGCCCTGTGACCTTGGAAAGGTGCCCCAAGAACGTCCTGCAGGTGCCCCAGAAAAATCCTGCCCATCTGCAGGGTCTCACAGGGGGTTCTGAGCTCTCTCTTACTGCCTGGTTTATCCAGAAATGTGTTTAACCCACAAATTTGAGCTCAGGGATGTGCCAGAGAGGTTGACATATCTTCTCAGTACCATTGGTGGGC